TCTAATCCTTCTCCCTTTTTCTCCCTCCTTCCCCCATTTTCCCCCATCCTTCCCTTTCCCCCCATCCTTCTCCTTCTTTCATCCTTCTCCTTCTCCTTCTTTTCATCCTTTTCCTTCCCTTCTTCTATCCCTTTTCCCTTCTCCCTTTTCATTCCCCTTTTCCCCTTTTCCTTCTTCTCCCCCTTCCCCCTTTAAAACCCCAAACCCTTTTTCCTTCTCCTTTTTCTCATCCTTCTCCTTTTTTCTCATCCTTCTCCTTCTTTCTCATCCTTCTCCCCTTTTTTTCCCTTTTTCTCTTCCTTCTCCTTTTTTTCCCTTCTTCTCATCCTTCTCCTTTTCCTTTTTCTCCTTCTCCTTCTTTCCCTCTTCTCCCCCTTCCCCCTTCTCCTTTTCTTTCCCAAACTCCAAGGGGGATTTAAATTAAAGGGACAGTGTTTGCACAAAAAAAAAGGCTTTTTTGAAGCCTAGGGAAAACCCTTTTATAAGTCATCTTTGTTTGCGAAGAAAAATTTGCATCGAATCCCAATTTCCCCACTGGAATTCCCCGAATCAGCCCAAATCGAATTTTTTAGAAAATTTGCTTCATTTTCTTTGACATCACCTTTCTGTACATTACAGATTTTCAACCCCTGAAAAAATAGACCCGATAGGGTTTTAAATTAACCCGGGGGGGACTAACAAACCCGTTAAAGGAAAATTCACCCGAAAAGTTTAAAGGTTTTTTCCCTCCAGAAGATTAACCCCCCTTTTTGACCAGGCCATTTTTTTTTCGAAAACGGCGCTGAGTTATTTAAACAGATAATTGTGCATCATGGAATGGAATGCTGTAACCCAAAGAAAATTTATGTACATTGTTTCCCACGACAAATAGAAGATTTCTTTTGTGGTATTTGATATACCCTCAATGGTTTTTTACTTTTTTGCACCGATAAATCAAAACAACTGACAATATTTTGGATAAAAAAAAAAAAAAATTATGTTTTATTTTTCTGCTCAACCAAAACATCTCAATAAAAACATTTTAAAATCAAATTTACTTCATAAATTTAGGCCCAAAATGTATTCTGCTGCAGCAAATTATTCGTAAACAACAATTCCTCAATAATTGTATATTGAATTTAGTTTGCGCAAAAGTTATACGCGGTCTACAAACTATGGTATATAGTATTACAATGAAATTTTTTTTTTTAATACTAAGTAAAATTGGCGGTGTAATATCATACTCACGTTATAAGCGGGACCAGCGATATTGCGGTGGACTTTTCTTTACACAAACAGACACTTTGTGGCGGAACGACTGTCTGTGATTTATGCACACTAGGTGGTGCTTTTACTATGGTAAGTGATGGATCGTGTTCTCAGCTCTGCAGAGACACAGGATTCATGACTCTCCCTGTCACAACAGAACTATGTAAACATAGACACAGCTTTATTGTTCCTCCCTGACCAACGATCTGCAGGTGTCGGCGAACAACTGCTCACCTGGATTGTAAATCAGTTTGTGCTGTGACATTTTACAGCAGAAGCGTTCCTCCAGCGGCACGCGCGCACCCCAGTGTGGTGGAAAGTGAAAAATCATATACAGTCAGGTCCATAAATATTGGGACATCGACACAATTCTAACATTTTTGGCTCTATACACCACCACAATGGACTTGAAATGAAATGAACAAGATGTGCTTTAACTGCAGACTGTCAGCTTTAATTTGAGGGTATTTACATCCAAATCAGGTGAACGGTGTAGGAATTACAACAGTTTGCATATGTGCCTCCCACTTGTTAAGGGCCAAAAGTAATGGGACAGAATAATAATCATAAATCAAACTTTCACTTTTTAATACTTGGTTGCAAATCTTTTGGAGTCAATTACAGCCTGAAGTCTGGAACGCATAGACATCACCAGACGCTGGGTTTCATCCCTGGTGATGCTCTGCCAGGCCTCTACTGCAACTGTCTTCAGTTCCTGCTTGTTCTTGGGGCAATTTCCCTTCAGTTTTGTCTTCAGCAAGTGAAATGCATGCTCAATCGGATTCAGGTCAGGTGATTGACTTGGCCATTGCATAACATTCCACTTCTTTCCCTTAAAAAACTCATTGGTTGCTTTTGCAGTCTGCTTTGGGTCATTGTCCATCTGCACTGTGAAGTGGCGTCCAATGAGTTGTGAAGCATTTGGCTGAATATGAGCAGATAATATTGCCTGAAACACTTCAGAATTCATCCTGCTGCTTTTGTCAGCAGTCACATCATCAATAAATACAAGAGAACCAGTTCCATTGGCAGCCATACATGCCCACGCCATGACACTACCACCACCATGCTTCACTGATGAGGTGGTATGCTTAGGATCATGAGCAGTTCCTTTCCTTCTCCATACTTTTCTCTTCCCATCACTCTGGTACAAGTTGATCTTGGTCTCATCTGTCCATAGGATGTTGTTCCAGAACTGTGAAGGCTTTTTTAGATGTCGTTTGGCAAACTCTAATCTGGCCTTCCTGTTTTTGAGGCTCACCAATGGTTTCCATCTTGTGGTGAACCCTCTGTATTCACTCTGGTGAAATCTTCTCTTGATTGTTGACTTTGACACACATACACCTACCTCCTGGAGAGTGTTCTATCTGGCCAACTGTTGTGAAGGGTGTTTTCTTCACCAGGGAAAGAATTCTTTGGTCATCCACCACAGTTGTTTTCCATGGTCTTCCGGGTCTTTTGGTGTTGCTGAGCTCACCGATGCGTTCCTTCTTTTTAAGAATGTTCCAAACAGTTGTTTTGGCCACGCCTAATGTTTTTGCTCTCTCTCTGATGGGTTTGTTTTGTTTTTTCAGCCTAATGATGGCTTTCTTCGCTGATAGTGACAGCTCTTTGGATCTCATCTTGAGAGTTGACAGCAACAGATTCCAAATGCAAACAGCACACTTGAAATGAACTCTGGACCTTTTATCTGCTCATTGTAATTGGGATAATGAGGGAATAACACACACCTGGCCATGGAACAGCTGAGAAGCCAATTGTCCCATTACTTTTGGTACCTTAACAAGTGGGAGGCACATATGCAAACTGTTGTAATTCCTACACCGTTCACCTGATTTGGATGTAAATACCCTCAAATTAAAGCTGACAGTCTGCAGTTAAAGCACATCTTGTTCGTTTCATTTCAAATCCATTGTGGTGGTGTATAGAGCCAAAAATGTTAGAATTGTGTCGATGTCCCAATATTTATGGACCTGACTGTATATATACAGGAATGCCGCCCTGTAGCAGTAAAACTGCTATACGGCGGATGTAAACTGGTTAATGGGAAATCAAAATCACATATAAAATTATTAGAAAATGTATTACCCATTTAAAAATCACAAGGGATGTCAAATATTAAATAAATACTGCGCATATATTTACAGTATATGCGTTTGGCACGGCAACTGGCAGTCCTTATACTGGCCATAAGGCTTTAGATTAGTGGTCCCAGCATCCTAACCAAAAAAAAAAGAATCTTTCCTGTAACGTAAGGGCTCAAATGGTATATACTGTATGTTCCAGCATTATTGAAGGTTTCTGCAGAAACCTTGTTTTTTTTAAGTGTGTGATATAAGCACCACACATTGTACAATTGTTGCAAGTGATAACAGAGCTTTCATGGCATTGTCTGAAAAGAGTGTTATATGCTTTATGACTATATGGATCTACTTTTATATAAGACAAAATAAAGTTCATTGTTATTTTCTACCTGGAAATGACATTTGTGTCATGTTTTATGCATACCATATAAATGATTGTATGATACAATATAAAATGATTATATAAAAAGCTTGTAATATAAGAAATTGACTAGTCCACATCTCTTATCTGCCTCTCAGATGGACATTTTGATGTAGTATGTGTTGCTGAAATGCAGGTGACCCTGCTGTGTTAGTTTCTTGGCCAGGCAGAGTACAGATTCCATAAACGCTCATTTTAGACACTCTAATGCACTGGGAGAAACTGGAACAATGTGGAGCGCTCACTGGAAGCTGCTTAATATAATGTTATTGTTGCGTTGTTAGCAGCTATCATAAATCACTGTAATAATAAATGCTGACAGTGGAAAAGCAAGCTTCAGCCTTCCAGGAAAACAGCATAACAATACTATTGGGTTTGCTGTCACAAGGAGAACTTAAATTATGTTTTTTTTCTTCAAAAGAGAGTTAAAGAGGAAGAAGCTTCAATTTTCCAGATGATCTGTACGTGATTCTACCTGCTATCTCCCCTCTCAATTCCTGCGCAATTTCCCCCACTGCAACTGAGATAGTATGTGTAAGATCCTGAAGCAGATCCTGCAATTTGTTCATCAAGAACATCTGCTGTAAGGCAAGGAGCAGGGGGTATGAGAAAGGACTGGAGAGGAAGCAGGGCAAAGCTGCGCCTCTGTCATGAAAACTGACCGCACCTCCGGTTCTGTCGATTGGGCTAGAGAATCACCTGAGGCCATACCTCTCCATGTGGATAGGTCTCATATGCTTGGCGGGTGTTTGGGGGAGCTTCTGACACCCTATTTTGCACATCTAGACCAACGTGTGTTGCTGCAACTATATTGAGTGCTCCTGTGCTGCATGATCGCCATGTTGGCTGAGGAGGAGCCAGGGGAGAGATCGGTGTCTCAGAGTCGGTCTACAAGATATCTGCCATCATTCCCCTCCACACATGCACCCCCCAGAAGCTTCAATTTTGATAGGCACTCTGCATTATATTAATGGTACTATTATAAAAGCTTGTTTAATGTATTGTCAACATTTTTGTAACAAATCTACTCCTCAGAGATCCCAGCTTATAGTCCATGCTAATAATAAAAATGTGAAAAATATACAAATCACAAATAATAGCGCAAACCAAATCACACAACTAAATATAACCACCACCAAATAAGTGCATATAAATAGTGCAAACAAAAAAAAAATCAATAAATAGGGAATCTCAATATAGTCCATTCAGAAAAGTCCATATAAACATGATCCTCAGTAAATGAAGTAATGAGATCCTCCTTCATAAGCAATGTGGTATTCAATGCTCAAAAACACCCCATCAAAATGCACACTCACCATGTGCTAGTAATTAACCAGCATGTCAGTATATATCCAGCATTCACCAAACAGACTTCAAAGGACGATCCTCATGTGTTGGTAATTAGTCAGCATACTACTGTGTATCCAGCATATCACCAAACAAACTCCAGAGAAGATCCTCTCATATCCAGATTAGCACATGTGGGTAAAGAAAATACTTGCCATAGTGCAGTATCATCCAACAAATTTAGGTGTCCGTTTATGACACAGAGAATAGCTGCGATTCAACAGATCTCAGCTATTCTCTGGTCATTCACAGTTTATGACACTCAGGAGATCATGTCAGCCCTTCTCTGGAGATCTGTGTTCTCCCTCCAGATTCTCCAGCCCAGAGCTGGAGAATCAGAGGGACCGAAAACTAAGCAGAGATAATTTACCTCGGCTTAGTAAACTGATCTTTTACTGTAATCTCCCGAGATTATAGTAAAATGAGCCGTTTTCCAGAGTTTGTAGACCGTTCTCCAGCGTTTGGAGACTGTTCTCCCTTCGTTCGGAGAACTGCTTCATAAATTGCATTCACAGGAGAACTGTGTTCTCCGAGAATGCCGGAGAACTGAGCAGCGATCTATTACCGCTGGTTCATAAACGGACACCTTATTGCCAAACAAACCCCCCTTAAAATCACACTCACAATGAGCAAATAAAAACAAGGCGTTTTGTTATATCAGAGCTCCAGTCTCTGCATCCTGTGTCTCACCAGCCAGCCTGCATTCAAGATGGTAGTAGTGCGATCACGTGATCCGGACACGTGCATCAGCATCAGTAGTGATGTCACAGGAAGGCCACATCTGACGCATTTCGTCCAATGACTTCTTCCGATGTGCTAATCTGGATATGAGAGGATCTTCTCTGGAGTTTGTTTGGTGATATGCTGGATACACAGTAGTATGCTGACTAATTACCAACACATGAGGATCGTCCTTTGAAGTCTGTTTGGTGAATGCTGGATATATACTGACATGCTGGTTAATTACTAGCACATGGTGAGTGTGCATTTTGATGGGGTGTTTTTGAGCATTGAATCACACATTGCTTATGAAGGAGGATCTCATTACTTCATTTACTGAGGATCGTGTTTATATGGACTTTTCTGAATGGACTATATTGAGATTCCCTATTTATTGATTTTGTTTTGTTTGCACTATTAATATGCACTTATTTGGTGGTGGTTATATTTAGTTGTGTGATTTGGTTTGCGTTATTATTTGTGATTTGTATATTTTTCACATTTTTATTATTATTTTGAGTTTTTTAATAATAGCAGCATCCAGTGAGTGTATTTCCTCTCTTTATTACTTTGGCGCAATGATGTTGGTATAATAGAAGTGTTGTATATTTTTGGAACATTTCTTTGGTAACTAACTTTTTAGTCATAGTCCATGCTACTTAAGGCCTCTTGCATAAGAGGCCATTTAGGAGTAGTGCAACCTCCTGATTATTTTAGACCTGCTTTGTGAACCTTCATATCTAAACTAACAGGGCCTAAACTGGATGTTGCACCTGCCCCTCCTAGGCACACTAAAACTCTGGGAGGGATGCACTGCTCCTCGACTTCCCTGTGTGCAAGGGGCCTTGATCACACAGCATGCAATTCAAAACATGTTTAGTCAATAGGTTCATCTACTAAGCTATAACACATGTTATTTTCAAACATGTGACTGCTACTTTTAGCTCTCATTGGATAAAATGTTGAGTTTATGCTTGGGAACAGCCAGATCCAGAAGATTCCACCTTACATAAAAAGTGTGTCTTTTTCCTGTTTTCTGGCAACTACAACAACTAGAACCCTATAATCAAGTATAGTAGCCTTAGGCTACATAGCTTAACCTTAGGCTTAGCTTTTAATTCTTAGAACTCTTTCACAGGAGCATTTCAATCAGGTTTCCTTGTCCATCTTCCAGGCAAACCTCAACAGAAGCTTCATGCAACACTGTGAACAGATGAATGTAAATTAACTTCATCCTTTTCCATTTTTCCAGGCCTACACATGAGGGATCGGAGGTAGTATGATGCAAGCAGAGACAAATCTGTTTACATCCGTTCACAGGTTCGCCAATGTCCGCCAGACACCTGTAAGATAGGATCTTGCTGCTCCTTGACTCAAATATATATAAAGCTTCTGATTAGTTCCATGTACAACAACAATACACGCTAAGGTCACTGATGAGAAGAGTTTTACTAAGGGAGGGGATGACATATGCAAGGTTCCCCTCCTGAGTTTTTCTACAGGTCTAAATCATGCCTTTTTCTCAAACATTGTTATCTACAAGATCTACTGTATGTTTATGTCCATAGACTGAGGTAATAATTAAGAAACATATGTTAAACTTAAAACTTAACAATTTAGAAATGCAATTATCATTTATATCCACAATCTATGAAGTCTAGTCTGAGGCTTATTTCATTAGAACACAACTCTTGGTATACAAATTGAAGATTTAATTTGTTTACAGCAGTGGCTACCAAACTTTATTTTTTAACTTAGGTACCCCTTGGGAGCCTATTTCCATAAATTCCCCCTATGGAGATGGTGGAGGGTGGGGGGCATAGTTAGTAGGGGTGCGCCAAAAGGTGTTTACTGGTTGTGGCATGAAATAGTGCCAATAGTTTTGCCACACCACAGATTTACAATCCATAGTATATCACTGTTTTACAGTGTAATGTTACTGACTCCAGCAGGAACTTTCTTTCTTGGTTCCTCTTCAGGCTCTCCCTCTATCAGCCAGCCCAGCAGCCAAGACTCAGGACTCAGGATTCTGGACTATACTCAGTAATCAGGACATTGTGCTTTGGGCTTAGGAAACAGGAGAAAAGGTCTCAAGACCCTGCTTTCTCATTTCTGCCCTTTCTCAGGGCAGCACTTAAAAGAGGTGAGGGCATATCACTCTGCCATGAAATGACAAGGTGCCAGCTGTCGGAACTACAGGCCTACACAACACGGCCACTGGGATTCATTCCTTCCTAACTGAAGCCCACAAATCCCCATTGCCACAACAACTGCCTTTACAAAGGTACACCAACAAACCCCTATGTTAAAGTATTCAGGGCCAAAAGGAAGTGAAAAAAAAACATAAAAGAGTTAAGGTTTGATGCTGCAGATTGCTGAGGGTTAAGTCTGTACATAAACAATAGTATCTTCCGTTTTGGACAATTTAAAATGATAAGATCTTGAAGTAGCATAAATGTCAAAACAGGGAGATGTAAAGACATTATTTTTTTTTGTTCTTGATCGGTCAGCTAGATAATAAAAATAAAAAAATACAAACCGATTTCCCACCTTTGCGCTATTGTTTCAAGAGAGGTTGGTTGGTATATTTTTGCTTGATCAATGCTTGCAGCTAATTGGCTGCAGTGCTGATCAGTGTATTCTGACAGATAGAGTCCAGCTGACAGATACATTGATCAAATGATTGGCTGCAAACGTTGATTGAGCGAAAATATACAGACCATTCCATTCAAGAAGAGTCAATCACTAGATCAACTCCTCTTGAACAGGAACAGCCATACATGGTTCAGCAGGTTCCTGCTGAATCTGACAAATTTTGATTCATCTGTGGCCAGCTTTAGGAACAGTGGAACATAGCCAGAGCAATTGATATGGCTTCTAAGAGACCTAGAGATTGGAAGAGTGCCCAGTTAGGGAGGTCAATGGTGGTTTCTTAAAAAAATGGCTGTGGAAAACACTCAGTCTGGACTCTGTGAAAAAAACGTAAGCTGCATAGCTCAAAGTCACTTTTTCAAGAATCATTATTTTTTTCTCTTATTAGAAAAGACCCAATACTGTATCATCAGGCATATGAGAGGTTTCAGAACTGTAACCAAATTTATTAACAAATAGGGTGGTAATATATATGTGAGTTAAAGCCTGGAGTTCAGCTTTAAACTACCGGACTTCAGTGTCAACATCAAGCAAAGCAAAGATATTCTTAGAACCAATAAAACTGTGTAGAAAGGCTACTAATTACTTTTATAATTTCACCTACATTGTACAAAAGCTAACACCTGTACAGAAAATGAGGTACATGATATTTGTGAACTCTGTTGTGTCACCTATTGCATTACGTTTGCTGCCATGCAGGGCAAACGGAGGCAACAAAGTGACAGGTTGTAGTTTGGGTCAGGAAGTCCATTGTATATTTAAACCCCCACTAATCCACCTTAGTATTAAATATTATTTGCTTTCACAAACAATGATAAACTTAGAGAACTTTTTAGTGCTGCTTTAATACACGTAAATAACATGTGCAACAAAGTGTAACTAGTTATCTAGGTAGTACAAGTAGCTTCCTTTCTTCAGTCTAGTAGAATACTTGATCTGATAAGGATGAAAGGATTTTCTTACAAGCGTGGAATCATGCTTGTCTTCCTTTTAAATAATTTATGGGTATATGCCCCTTCATGAGTCAATGTAATGTTTATAATTAAATTCTATTGGTATATATTAGCGGTGCTACTGAAATAAGGCACCTCTACAGTTTTCAAATCAATTGAAATTTCTTGATAAGTGTGGTGTAAACAAGGAAACTATTTCTGTAAGTTATGGTATGTTTTTAAAACACATTAATAGTCAGGTCATAGTGCAAGAAGTAAAACTCAGGCCTCTTCCACACAAAGCAGAGTCCACTCTGATCAACACAGAACAGATGCCAGCTCAGTTTATGAGAGCCTACATGAGCAGAGCCTGCGGAGCTCTATGGACTCCGGTCCACCAAAACGGAAAATGACACGTCTCTTGCATGTCTCCTATTACCTATTTGGATCTCAACTGGAGTGGTTTAGCTACCCTATTTAGGGATCATTACTTGGAGGATCTTCGCTTTTTCTCCCTTGGGGGTCCAGAGGAGGGTCCGGCTTTCCAACCTTCTGGGTTATCATACAACAAAGCGCGATTGACCGCTCTTAACAGGGGGGTCACATCTCTCTGTTAAGCCTTTGAGTGGTTTGTGACACATCAGCTGTCCTTGGATTTTTCCTGTTTCATCACGGTCTTTGGGGACCTTCCTCTATTTTGACAACTCTAGACGGACATTTCTTTTGATATTTTTTTTATTACAATTTTGTTTCACTTATTGCTTGGCATTCTGTTAAGCACTGCACTTTATATGTATATTATTATTGCCTGGTACCGGGGTGTAGTGTTCAGCTGCTATATATTTGCATTTTCACTTCACTTTTTAGCAGGGATTTATATATATTTTGAAAGCTGTGTACTAACAATCAGATTATTGTACAATCGTTTCTAAAGCAGTATTTTTCATATGATTTTCTGATCGTGTGTACTAGGCTTTAGCGTATATTCTTTTTTTGGGGTATACACCATACACATTAGTTATGGCTGCTCCTTCTGCTATAAATCATCTCTGTACCGTCTCCTTCATAGATCCTGGATACTGATCTGAATAACTCTCTTCGGGCACTGTAAAAGTTAACTGTTGTGGCGCAGAGAAGAGTTAAGCCATTTGCCTGCCCCCTTCTGCCCTCTCTGCCATTAACAGAATTTGTATTATTACACTTCAAAAATGCATCATGTTCTGTGAATAGGCAGAGGAGATCCTGTTATTCAGCTGCTCCTCCTCCATTCACAGAACATGATGAATTGTGGGAGTGTAGTAATATGAGTTCTAGTAACGGTGGACAGAGCAA